TGTTAGCACTTGACTTTTACCATCTTTTCTGATGTAACTGCAGTGTTTTATCATTTCTGCTTATCTGTTTCAGTATCATCAGTCATCTGTCATCTGTATCCTATCTGTCATTTCAAGCAAATAGCTGCCAAGATAAAAATATATACAACATGCAGTAAATACAGATTCGTCAGCTTTACAGCTTACATATACTTTGATTTTGAGTTGTTGGTTTATTCCTACTAAAGGCAGCAAGCATGTTGGTCCTAAACATGTGTGTTAGGTTTACAAAATGTAAATAATATCATTATCATATATAGATATAGATATATCATGATCAGTTCACAAAATGAATGAATGATCTTTTTAACACATTTTTAAAAAACTAAATGAAGACAAATTTAAACTCAGCTCGGTTCTGTGTTTGGTTAACCTGACCATCCTCACTGCTCAGGTACGTTAGTGTGCAGCGGTAACGGGACCGGCAGCAGCTCCATCTACTCTGTTGCCATGGTGGCGATCCCCGACTGCGTTGACAATGCCACGCAAACGGACATCAGCTTCCAGAACATCGTGACTCTGGGAAAGAGCAGAGGTCATCACCACCACCACGGCCGGGGAGGAGGCTCCTTTTCCCCTCCACCACCTCCACCTTCACCTCCCCTCCCTCACCTCGTGGGACCATACGGGATCAATGAGTTGTATGTCCTGACCTGTAGTCGTTTTGGGTGTCAAGGAAAATGATTCCAGACATGAAAAATCAATAATGTTAGATATGATAAGAATTGATTTTTCCTCCCTTCTCCCTCCAGCTGTGTGTTTGAGTACAATGACCCCGATGACTACTTTGACATCTCGAACCATGAGGTGGACAGGCAGGATGACCTGGAATATGAGGTGAGGACTCTGCTGCTGTATTAGCATAAACAAATTGTCATTAAAAAATGATAAATGGTAATCCTTCATTCAATAACACAGTTGGTTGTCAACCCTTTTTCAAGTACTTAACCTCTATAGTAAGCCTAAATGCCTTAAGGTCCCCCTGTGAGAGAGAAACTACTGGCATCCCCAGCTGCACATTTGTGTCTCTATTAGAAGTACAAAGACACGTGCAAGTCTTTTAGCCTGATGAATACATCTGGAATATGAACAGAGCCAGCCAGCTGTGGTTCTTCACTTTTGCTGTGAGACAACAGACTTGCTCAGAGAGGAAAGACTCTTTATGACAAAATCTGTCTGCCGAGGCTCGGGTTGCTTGAAAATGTGTGTGAATGTGTTTCATTTCAGATGTGCAGATGTGTTTAAAGTTTGATCAACACAGCTGTTTACTCTGGCCTTGTAATGGATGAGTGATCCATTACAAGGAAGCACATAACTGAGACCAAAAGCTTCTTTTTCAAATACATTTTATGACTTGTGAACCTAACTACATTGAGTACTGTAAAACACCTCTGCACAGCAGTGATGTGACTAAAAGCATTTCAGAGGGTACTGAAGGGGATGCACTGTTACTGAGAAAAGTATAAAATGACCTCCTAGTTTAGAAGACAACCTCAGGGTTATTGCGTAGATCTTGTGTCAGGAAAGAACAAAAAGAAGGGATGAGAGGAAAGAAGACAGGAAAAAAGGAAGGAAGGTTAGAGGTAAGAATGTGAAGGAAGAAGGAAATGGGAAGAGAAATGTGGGAGGAGTGAGAAAAAGGAAGAAAAGTATGAGGAGATAAATAATTAAGTCTGAAAATGAATGAAGAGGTATAAAAGAAAGGAAGAAAGGATATAAGGACAAAAGGAAGGATGAGAGGTAGGTTGGAAATAAAGCCATGGAGGAGAGGAGGAGGTGCACAGACAGAGAACTGCGCAAAGGGTCAATTACATGAAAACCTAGTGGATGGAAAAAGACTCAGAGGAGGAAGGAAAATGGAAATACAGACATTTCTGCCTGTGCTGCAAAACCATCCACAGCCTTCAGAAATCTCACTGAAACAAATTGACCTCTACAAGCTGTCGTGTTTGCTGGAGAAAGTCAGGATGAGTGATGGTCAGAATGGTCTTAACCTTCAAAAAGAGGCTCTAAGTTCAGTTTACAAATGCCTAATGGACCCCTGTGTTTAGCTGAATGGCACTTTTTCTTTGTTTCTGCGCCGTCGGTTCACTGTCGTTTCCTGAGACAAACGCCTGTTTGGTCATTAAAGAAGTCAGCAAAGTGGAAACGTTCTTGTGCTTTATGGCTCATACACCAAAGAGACTCTGTTTTCCCAGAATCACTTCCTTCTCTTCGTTTTGAAATTCATGTTCACTCAGTCCTCTGATCTCTTTCCTCCCTTATTCATTTTACCAATTGCTACCATCATTATATCCCCTCAAATTACTTCCTAATGCCCTACTTTTCCCTTGGATTACATCCTTCATTTCCTCCCTAAATCACCTCCTCCTCTCTGCTACATTCCTCTGTTGATGCCCTCTAGCTATAACCAGATAGGGTGGTGGTGCAATGATGGTAAAAACTGCTGGTCTAAGGTATGCTCTTTCTACACTTAAACGTGTTCTTTGAGCTGTAAACTACATTATATGACTCTACTGTGATGAAAAACCATCAATGACTGGTGTTAAAATTGACAAATCTGCATATCATTAAATCACCCTGAATCTTGTAAGGCCAATGCTTACAGAGTCGAACATTTAGGACTACTTAAAGTCATGACATTTATATAAAGAAAGAGCGCAGAGCGCTTTGATGGTGGCAACTGGTCTTTCGTAGTCCCAGCCGATCACTGAGGGCCACATGTTCTCTGATGTCATAAGACTGAATTTGTTCTAAAGCTTGGGACAAACCAAGACTTGCTAAAGTCCTTCCTCTGTTCCTCCAGGAGGTGGAGCTGTACAAATCCAGTCAGCAGGAGAAGTTGGGTCTGACAGTCTGCTACAGGACGGATGACGAAGAGGATCTTGGGATTTATGTTGGAGAGGTGAGGACACATCTACTCTTCATCCCTTTACTCTACTCTTCCTTCTCTCCAGAACTTATTCAACCATTCATTTAACATCCAACTGTCTCATTTATTTATTCACTCCTCTGTGCATGATGCATTAATACAGCTCATAAATGTTACTCCATTTCATATTCAGTCAATTAATCACTATTTTCCATTCAACCTTCATACATATATTTTATTATCTTTTCATTTATTTATTACATCCATCCATTAATCACTTTATTCATTATCTTATTCTTTGAATCATTCATCCAACCAATTACTCACTCTTTCTATTCATTTAGTCAGCTTATACCAATATACTCTAATGGATTCATTCAATCATTATTATTTTATCTGTTTCTTAATTCATGAGGCTATTTATTTATCCATCTATTCCTTGTGTGCTTTGTTTATCTTCCTCTCTTTCTCTAACTATCACTTTAGGTAAATCCAAACAGCATAGCAGCAAAGAATGGACGTATCAGAGAGGGTGACCGAATACTACAGGTACACGAATACTAATTTAGTTCTAGTTCTTCTGTCTTTATCGGGAACGTTGTTAACCCTCCGACAGATTTGGACAATTGAGGTTTTTTTTCGGGTTGCATCAAACACTGATAAAACATTAAAAGTCCTTCCTTATGTAAGCATTGCACTTGGATTAGGGTTACAGGTTAGAGTCAGTTATGGTACAGGTTCTATGCAAGTTCAATCAAAACTTGACTGCAAATAAAACTGTTTATCCAAAGAAAAAATTGTAAGTTATGTTATGTACCTGACGTAATTTAAGTACCTGAATAAAACGTACGTTGTTTTGTTGCATACCTGATATAATTTAAATAAAGTAATAAAAGGTTACTTAAGATACATGACATTACAGTTTGTTTGAGCCATCCACCCACCACCTCCATATGCTTGCTCTTTATACTACATCACTTGGATTTGATGGCAGGCATGTATAGAAAGGACACTAGAGGAATACCTATAGCGTCAGGTTTTGAAGCGGAGGGCCACTGACCAAGCAGCTGAATTTGACGATTTGGGAGTGAGACCAGGTTTCCCAGGGTCCACTCAATAGCAATAGTGATATATATTTTTTTAAGAGCTTTCAACCACAACTCACAATCTTCTTCTGTGGATGTAGTTTGCGTAGTTATTATCACATAACCCAATATATGTATTGAACGTGGGTCATATGATAACAAATCAACCATCTCCATGACAGAGGAAAGAAAAATCTTTTCTTTTGGTTTGACTCTTAAAGGACCAGTTTGTAGGATTTAGTGGCATCTAGTGGTGAAGTTTCCGATTGCAACTAACTGAACACTGCTGGTGTCTGGATTTGATGACCTGGTAATGAGAACAGGCTCTGAAGTGTGTAGGAGAAACTACAGTGGCAGCAAATCACAATGATTATAGGTGATTATACACTAATGAAAACATACCTATGAATATTATGTTCCATTTCTGCCAAAAGATCCTCCTAAATGTTACTCACTGGACCAATAATTTGGAACTCTTTGTCATAACAAAATAGACAGATTGATCAGGCTCATGCTCCCCAGAGGTAAAACCCTTTGGATTTTAATGACCCTGTGACTTTTCCTTTAGCTTCCAATTTAGGAAAAACTTTAGACTTTTTTTCTAAATTACCACAGTTCATTTAACCCACTGATGACAGTTTTAAAAAATGTCTGTATTCGTAATTATTGAATGTTCACCTTCAGATTAAGGTAAGCACATTTTCTGTACACTGAAAATACAAACCTGTCCTCTGCCAAATGAACAGGCTCTCTCAGGGTTAAGAATAGTTTCAGATCAAACTATGTAAATTTATACCTGGAACCCCTGGGACTGTCTTATCCAATCAGAGAGAGCTGTCAGCAGCCCAGTTACTGCTGTCCTAAAAATAGACGAGAGAGAGAGATGGAGGGTGAGACAACATTGTCACCCTGTGTTACCACCGCACTGTTCAGCTCTGTTTGTCAGTCAAGAGAGAGAACACTGCCGTACTGAAGATATTCAGACAACAGGTGACGGTTTAAAGAAAGAACCTGGGTCAAAGTTCTGTAACACACTTCATGTTGGGTTTAACTTTATTTTTACTTAAGTACATTTGTCTGAGAATCTAAAGAAGGTCCAAGGGGTCTTTTAAGAGAATTTAGAGGTAATTTGGTCATTAAAACAGTTCTATGGGTCCTGTAGGAGGTTTTAGTAGCCATTGATGAAGTTTTAGATGTTCTCTAGGTCGGTTCTATTGATAATTGAAGAGGTTCTAGAGGTCTTTTTTAGTGGTTTTTTATGAGGTTTAACGCTCAAGAAGTTCTAGTGGGCCTTCGGGAGATTTAGGGTGGTTGAACACGTGTCAGACAGTGTCAACACAAAAGAGAGAATATATTTTGGAAGAACGCTGTACATTCCTCCAGTAGAGTTCAACATACATGAAGAATCTCTGACAATCATACTGAAGCTGCTCTGGACCTTACGAACACTTTCTTTCCTTTAATTTGTAAAATGGTTGACCTAAAGTAGCAAAACTGCCACTAGTGGTTCACAAAAGATTTATTGATTGGGATGGTGGAGCTCCTTAAACACACAAAAATACAAGATATTACCATCCTTTTATTCTTTAACCACATAGCACTATAGCCTTATATTCTTCTAATAATATCAGACCAGAACAAGATCTTGTATTATGAACCTTGGAAAATAAATGACCATTACTTCTTATACACAATTATGAAATACCACATTCAACTTTATGAGTCTGATAGAGTATAGGTCAGCTTATTTAACGTTTCAACAATTTACAAAGCTGACTGCCAAGCATCATTTACCCAAAAAATGTTGCTGCTAATAAAACACTGACAGACCTTGAGCCTTTAACAGCAAGTTGCTAACCTAGAAAAAAGTGCAACATTTTCCTTCGATTGGAAGACAAATGTCCACTGATTGTATTGTACTGGTACAATAACGCATTACAAAGTGCCATAAATTGCTGTGATTTTATGTTTTTTACTTTTGGGAGTTTAATTAGGAGTTTAACCTTTTTCATATTCTGTTAAAACAATGTTTTTGTTTCTGCTCTGAAGCTGCACTCCCACATGTGTTCTTTCTAAGAGATCTAGACGATGAAAAACGAGTGTGAATACATTTATCTTCCTGACATTTCTTCGCTCACTATCATCTGACCTTCCCTTGCGACTGACGACCTCGAGGAAGCAGTGTTAGGGAGAAGATAAAGTTAAAATGTGATAAGAATAGACCACAAGCAGCACCTGGCATCACCATGGTTACCGAGCAGCGGATGAATGTTGTCAGCTCCCGTTCCCATGGCAGCCCAAGATGTGGTGTCTGTCTGCAAGTTTGGGGAACATACCTGTCATTACACACCGTACAGTGAGAAGGACCGTACTGCTGTTTTTGCCCGTTGTTACGCCCCTGTCTAGGGGGTAGGAGCTCAACATAAAAGTAAAAAGAAAATGACAAATAACCTTCCCGCCCGGTCCCCAAACCAAAAACGAACAAGGGTTTTACAACAAGTGATGTGATTTATTTTACAAACGTGAAACAAAAAGTCCAACAAAAATCAGCAACAAACTTCGCGGTGAACCAAGCCCTAAACAACAAACTAAACAGATCTAACTCCTTCAAACTAAATGCTGAGTAATTCCTAGTTAGACAGCACAAAAGAAAATGGCAGTTCACCCCCACAACACCCACTACATACAACCATAAGAAAAATAAATAAATAATAATAATTACAACTTGTTGCCAACAACTTTCTTGCAACACTTTCTCTACGATCCGAGGTCAACGCCTGCTGTGAGGCCAGACGTTTAAAACACAGCGGATGATGTTGTAGATGTCACAGGGAGAACCAACCAGCAGCAGACACTCCACCAGCCGAGCCCACGTAATTAGTGCCAGTCAGAAAGGACCCACAGGTTGCCGTCAGAGATCCCTACCGAGACAGGCTGCACACTACTGTAGAAAACAGGGATACAAAAAAAAAAAGAGACACACCACCGAAGAAACAATACAAAAACAGTAATACGGCCAGGGCCATAACACCCGTGTTAGTACTGCAAATAACGTGCAAATACTTTTGCCTTTTCATATTGTCTTATCTCTGCCTACGAAAATGCCCATGTACTGTATGTAAGATATGACTCTTTACCTCTCCTCAACCCCTCCAGATCAACGGAGTGGATATTCAGAACAGAGAAGAAGCCGTGGCCATTTTGACAAGAGAGGACAGCATCAACTTCTCACTGCTGCTGGCCAGGCCGGATATAGAGGTGACTTCACATGACACAACGCAGTTAAAGCACTCTCCTAAATCAATGCTCAGGGAATGCAGACTGCAGGTAACCATAGAAACCAAAGTTACAGGTTAACTCTCTGATGAAACTAATACCTCTGTCATACAGGAGAGACACGTGCAGGTCTATTACAGGGTTTACAAGGTGTTCTGTGGCCTACCCACACCACCATGTTTGTGTAAGTTTAATTCAACCCAAGCATGTTCCGAATTGTTGTAGTGCGTGTCGCTTGTTCCCAAGCAGGAAAACCAACCAGACTTGGAGCCAAGTTATTTTACATTATGATGAGAATCTGCCCCGATCTGCATGATGACATTGGTAAAATGTAACTCAATACATTGTAAATGAACTTTTTCCATTTAATGCTACTTTACAGTTGCACACTACATTTTATGAGCCAGTACTGTGCTTTTTACTTTACATTTATTTGACATTAGTTACTAGTTGTATTGCAGATTTAGATTATTGATACAAAATATAAAATGAACTAATAAACAATGATGTATTATTCTGGATAAACATTAGAAGCAGTCATTTAAATTTGCTCCAGCTTTACCATCTGCAACATTAGTCATGAACACATTAAGGGGATGTTCCATTTCATCTAAAAATGTGTGGAAAATCACTTTGTTTTAACCAACAAACCACAAAAACAAATGATATTCAGTTTATGATGACATAAAACAAAGGAACCACCAACGACTAACTGGTCAATCAAATCCCTTTACCACTTAAAACAGAATGAATCGCTTCCTGTGAGAATGGTTCTCTTCATTTTCAGGTCCAGAAATAGTCATCACATCCATAACAGGTCTAACAGTGTCTCCTGTTTCATCACTCAGCCCGCCTGCAGCCTAGTTCACTAACCTACTTTCTTCTCATATCACTGCTCCTGCGGGGGGCCGACAGGAGAGGAAAGTTTGGTTCCCACTTTCCTCAAGCAGGAGTTCCATATGTTCACCTCCTTCTGTGATAGTTGTTAATTTATCCATCCGTGTGTGACTAACATGCATATGGAAAACTAACAGCTGGTTGGGCAGGAAATTTGTTTCCCTCGTTTAAATACTGATTGATTTTGGAGACCCTGTGACCTGTCCTTTAGCACTACCATTATCACAAACTTTACATTTTCAAATGATTAGATCTCTTGACACTAACAGTTGTAAACACAACATTTGCTGAACACATTCACACTGTCAATATTGACTTTGGTGATATTTCTCAGAATGCCACCATAAGGCCAAACCTTGACCAGATTTATTCTAATCTTCTGCCCTCCACACAGTATAATGTTGGTTGTGCAGTAAAACTAACCAGAGCTTGAGCCTCAGTATGCAGTCTAGATAGGTAGAGTTGGTTTACTTGTATTTTGAGTACAAAAAGGGAAAAGAGTGCAAATCCATGAGGTTATGTCTTTGGTAATGTCTCTTTAATTTTTGGGCAGTTTTGTGACGTGAAGTTCAATGTTAACAGTTTAGAGTTTGTTAAATCTTATACATGTGTATGAAAAAAAAAATCAACTTACAAAGGGTTAGTCCTTGTCAAGTCAATTTTAATTTATGTAGCCCAATAGCAGTGGAACACATCACAGTTTGAGCCACAGAAAAAAACTGATTGGTTACACATCACAACTAATAGCTTATCAACAGTGGAAGCAGCTGTGTGACCAACAGGGAAGGCTGCAGATATCTGAAGTTACAATAAACATCACAACCCATTTCTATGACAACAAGCATACCCAGTTTCCCAGTTACACCACTGAAAAAGTCAGCAGTCACAACATGCAGGATTTCACTCAATGGAGGGGAAACAGACAGCTTTTAGAACTTTGAGATGTGTTTCATAAATTATAAAAACACTTTTATAAATAACATTGATTTTTATTATTGTTTAAATACTGCACAGCATTATGTGGGCAAGAATTATACTTTATATTTATTGTGAAGGAACTGATTGATGATTTGCTTGTAATTGAAGTTTTCAAAAGAACTAGATGACTTACAGATATACGTTGGTGCTCAGGTGGCATGTAGCACTATACCATTTCAGTCCAATATAAAGAAGGAAAAATTCCATCACATTTAAATCAAACTTAAAACTATATTTTATTTGCACTGCAAACATGAATTCCCAGCCTGCAAAAAACATGGCTGCCTGGCTAACATCTAAATTAACTAAACCATCATAACTGAAATAATGACACAGCGAATGTCAATCTCTGCTCTATCATTAATGGTCTGAAACCAACACGCCCAGCTTCAGTCTGCATTCACTTACATTCAGGCTCTTTTCTTCATAACATGAATGTCATATACCCAACATTCATGGTTGTGTGTACGTACACACACACACACACACACACACACGATAAATGTTTCTAGAATGACAGCTGGTCCCAGAGTGTGTGTCCACATCTGCTGACAGAGGAGGAACTGCACAACAGCATATTCATATACGTCACTTAAACCTCCCCTTCACACACACACAGATATTCATTGATGAATGTGTGCTGTGTGTCTGCGTGCGTGTGTGTACAGTAACATGTCAACTAAATAAATGAGCCATCAGTCAGTCAGTAGTTAGACAGCTCCAACACTTCAGCCAGTCAGATCTTCTTGTAATGAGTGAACAGGATATGATGGATGTTTTATCGACTGAGCAAATAACAAATTAGGAAGTGATTGTGGAGCAGCTATGATGAAAGGAAGAGAAAGAGAAGAAGAGAAAGCAGAAATGCACCAAATGACGTCATATAATGTATTTATATGAATTATGTCCGTTATCGGCCTTTAAGCGGTGGGGTAAACTATGGTGAAGTACATCTGTCTTTTTAACCCCAGAGTAAGATCTCTGGACAGCTACTGTGCAGAGCGTGGAATGGAACAGAATGGACAACACTTACACTACCAGTCAAAAGTTTGGACACACCTTCTCATTTAATGTTTTTTCTTTATTTTCATGACACTGAAGGCATCAGAACTATGAA